CAGCGCCACACAAGGGGGCTGCAGCCGTCAGCGACTGATTGCGACTGATTGCGATCCGAGCAGATAAGCACAGATAGCATCGGTTCACAGATGGACGAAATTACGGCCGGAATGACAATCCCGATACACGAGATGTTATCGAGGGGTAAATCGTTAAGTGAGTAGGTGCAGAGCTCGTAAAGCTTATTCCCACTGCACAGTGCATACAGCCGCTCAGTGACGGAGCCTCAATGGTTGAGCAGTCGAAATCAATGCCGTCCACAGCGGGCCTTTCAAGAATGATAAGCAGTCGATAGGGAATGCAGCCTGCAGCGACCGAAGATTGACAGATGCACAGAGGTCTTTCACCTCCGGAGAAAGCACGACTCCATTCCGATTGATTGCCTTTCTATTGTGCATTATTCATCATACGCGACCACAAAACATAAAATATTCAAATCCAATGAGAGTGACAGCTTTCAGCTTTCGCGTCCAGCTTTTGGGTAGCATTTGAAAACATTCCCTCGGCCGGAATCGAACCCAGGCCCGTCGCTGTCTGCCACAGGCCACTCACCTGGGGGCGCCTCTCTGAACTCGAGTGAGCTGGGGCAGCTGAAGGCGCGCCGGTCGTCGAGCGGCGCGCGCTGCGCCGGCTCGCTGCGGCTACGTCGGAGCCCGCTCAGCTGACGCCAGCCGGCGGCGGCGCCAGGGCTGTCGGGCGGCGTCAGCGCCAGCTCGGGCGGCGTCAGCTGGCGCCGCAGCCGGAACGCCGTCAGCTCGGCGCACAGCGCGTCCAGCTGCTCGCCCGGCAGGTACCACTCACTGCCGAACGCCGACAGCGCCGACTCGCTCGACGACTGGGTGTCGGTGCCCAGACTGGAGGGGCGCCGCTCCCAGCGGCCCGCAGGCACCACGGCGCCGGACCGCTCCTCGGCGGCCGCCGCCATCCGCGGGATCTTGGGCTTCTTCTCCTTTTTGCGGCGCTTCCTGGGCTTGATGATGCGCGGTATGACCTGGCTGAGCTCTGCCGGGTCGCTGCCGTCCGCCGCCACCTCGCTCTCGCTCGACGTCGGCTCCTCGGCACACGCGCTGTGAGACGAGCCAGAGCTGTGCGAGCTCTGGGAGCTATACGAGCTCTGGGAGCTATAGGAGCCCTGAGAGCTATATGAGCCCTGTGAGCTGTACGAATTCTGCGAGCTGTACGAGCTGTGCGAGCCCCAGGAGCCGGGCCCGGCCGGTTTCCCCGGCGCGCCGCCCGAGCTGTGGCGTCTGTAGCGCGCCGCCACCGACTCGTACCTCGCACCTCCTCCACCGCCGCAGTAGGCCTCTCGGGGGCCCATGGGGCCGGCGCCGGCCGCGTGGCTCCCCGGCGGAGCTCCGCCAGGGCCCAGGTGGCCGGAGGGGCCCGGAGGACCCAGAGGAGGGCCCGGGGAGGCCCAGTTGAGGTCGGCTGGACGGGGCCGGCGGCCGCGCGCCGCCCCGAACTGGCGCCGTGCCGGGAACGCGCCGTGGTGCGCGCCCGGCCCGCCGTGCTGGCCGTGCTGGTTGTGGCCGCCGTGGTGACCGTGGTTGTGACCGCCGTGGTTCAGGTAGCCACCCGCCCGGCCCGGGTGTCGCGTGCCGTACCCGTGATTCATCTCACACGTGTGTCGCACCTCCTGCTCACAGCCCTGCCACTCTCTCTCTCCGCCGCACACTCACACTCACACCTCACACAGGAACGAACGGAGAGCGCCGTTCGACATCCACACACGCGCGACTGGGCGGCCCGGCGATTCGGCGAGGTGCGCCGGCCGGCGGCGGGCACAACACTGCGCCGCTGTCGCCGCCGCCGCGCCGCCGCTGCTCCACAGCCGCCGGCCGGGGTTCCCAAACCGGTCGGCCGGCGACCCACTGCCGACACGCAGAGGTCCTCAACTCGGCCGGAACTGGGCCGGAGCGGCCCCGATCCGGGAGACACGTGCCGTGCGGCCAGGGCAGCGTGCTAGTGACCTCAGCGGCCAGCGGACCGGCGGGATGACCTCTGAGACCACCCCCGACCTGGAGCTGCGCGTGCAGGCCGGATCGGAGGATTGTTCTGCACATTGACAATAGCGCGCTGGGCGCTGATTCTAGGTCACCGGCTGTTTTGGATCTTTAAATCCGGAAGAATCAGTTAGATCAGTCGCAAGTAGAACAGGCTAGGTGAGGCCCTTGTTGGTGGTAAGATGAGGAACTTGTTGGGAAAATGGACATGAAAGTCGTGCGTGGACAGCTACCGATCGAATGACCCCAAACCATCGTGTTCGTGACCTACAGCCCGAGTCAGATCGACCCGGGACCCTTCACCGTACTGTCTGATAGATCTACCACACAAACAAACAACCCCACTTCAAGGCTGCACAAATGGCGCCGAATCTGAACCCGAATCGCTGAGATTCCCAAACGTTACGGCACGTCCAGAGTAGCATCGATGGGAAATTAGAACAGCGTCGTACACGTTAGAACCTGCTCCCTCGCGGTGCCGCGCTCTCCAAGCGCCGGGCCCGAGCCGACTCGATGGAATCTAGCGGAGCAGGTGCAAATATGATTTTTTTACGGAGGGCGGCAGAGCTACGCTGGGTGTGGTGGAACCTGCCCCGGCGGCTGAGCATAGAGGCACCTGCACAGGGCGCGAGTACAGATGCCCCAGGCGCGGGAACAGCGGCACCCACTGACGCCCCGGGCTGCTGGGGTATAGAGGCACCAGAGACGCCCCGGGCGGCTGCCAGACCCATAATTACCGCCAAGGTCAGCCTCGGGCGGCGGCAGCCTGCGGGCAGTGCACTGCAGCGTCCAATTACCACGCGCACAACACCACACCACACCACGCCGCACTCATTACGGCTGGTAAATAACGCGCAGGAATGAGCGGAGTCGGAAGATATAGACTCGAGGTTCTAGCAGTGGATAGGGGATACCAGAAACGATGCAATAGCGGAAACAATAGTCCGCGGTAGCAGCCACAGCTACAGTGTCACCCTGGCATCATCATTGACAAGTGGTGGATTCTCTTCGCGAGCGTAGTTCCTCTGATCATCGAAGAAGTGGTAGGTGTTACAACAGCAGCAGCAAGTACTGATCAACACCGATAGCGACCCCCGCGGCGGTGCCCAAAACTCCCAGCCAGAAGCGGTACGACGGCAGCAGAGGCTGGAAACACGGACAAAACAAAACAAACCGGACACGAAGCTGGGCCATAAACCCAGTGACCGCGTGAGCTGCGACGAGAGAACACCAGCCAGCTCCATACGTCACCAAAGGATGGTGCTAGAAACGAACGGACTAGTGCAACGGTGGCTCTGATTTACGTGCCACCAATGCATGTCTAGAAATTGGTGACGTCGTATTTTCGTAACCTGATCATAGTGATCAACTCAAGCACCGTCCAACTAGCACAAATACACATATTTCCTCTACTACATTTACAACGTGAAAGATAACCATCACATCATGTATACACATGGAGCTTTATTGTATGTATTGCAGCAGGAAGACGCTCTGTTTTCCGCACAGCTCCGCCCGCCAGGCTGATACGATCGCGGCAGGTCACTTTGGTCACTCAGCCGGCAGACCGGCCGGCCGATATACGTGAGCCAGGCACCTGGCACGGATTAACAGGAACTGCTCACAGTGGTACGGATCGTGGATAAGCATTCAGGACTTCAGTCCTTCCTACTTACCGCGCGCCATGCCTTTCGACATACTGTCACTTCCTGGGGTAATAAAACCGTTCAGAGGAAAATAAAACGATTTTGGGTTCGCAATTGCACATAAAGGCTCCCCCGGGAGACAGTGTGGAGTGTGGACAGAGCAGTTTCCCCAGGGGCACTGTCAGCGGTCTCCCGGAGAGGGGGATATAGCTTCCCCAGCGTCGTGGTCGGCAGTTTCCCTGGGGAGGCACAGTGTAGTTTCCCCAGTGTCCCTGTCGGCCACCTGTCGTCCATGTGACCGGGACCGCGCACCGACAGCAGACCGACGTGACACAGCGAATCGCTCCCCACCGCCGCACACTGGCCGGACGAGCGAGTCCAGCCCTCAGGCGGGACAGGGCATAGTAGCCCCTGCTCAGCCCTCAGGCCTCACCCCGGCAGGACAGGATAAATTAGTCTCAGTTCAGCTCTCAGCCTAGCAGGAGACCCGGCTAGTGCCAGCTCGGCCGTCATCCCGGCAGGACGGGACCGGTCGGCGGATCGAGGTCACTGGTATATACCGGAGCCGTCGGACCCAGCACCAGTAGGCGGCACGGATGGTCCGGTCAGGGCGGAGATCAGCTGCGGCACAGGACCCTGAGCTACCAGTTTCACAGCGACATAATGCAGCTCGGGATCGCAGCTGGACGGCGGAAATCGCACGTCCCATCTGCTACTAATAGTTCGCTTACAGTAACTTGTTCTAGTGCCATACACACGCATATATTGCCTTATTTATATTGGGTTTATATTTCATGGATAATTGATGAGCAGAGCGTGTTTCATTTCACTGAATCAACACGTCCAACAATTTCTGCATGATATCTGACCGATCACCACTCGACTGTAATTCGTTCTCTGCATGAGCCGTTTTCAAAATTCCACCATTTCCTTTTAACTGCACCACAGCATCAACGTGTATTGCCTCACTGTTCCACCGATTTGACCCTGTATCCTGCCCTCCCACTTTTCCACCGCTCCGTCGCCTGTATCAAGACACTCCACTCCGCAGCGAAGGCGGTCCGTTAGCGACCGATAAGGTCGAGAATCGCGTGTCGGCCGGGTGGCGAGTCGACCGTACGGCCGGCGCCGACCGACTGAGCCGAAAACGCGCCCGCTCGACGGCGGAGCCAGTGACGGGCGGCGGCGGAGCGCTGTACTCGTACCGAAAGGAGGGTACGTTACACCGGGCAGAGCTGTACCAGGCGGAGGATTCGCTGTAGATTGTAGATACCAGACAGAGGGTACGCTGTACCGAGCGGAGGGTACGCTGTACCGAGCGAAAACGCTGTACCAGGCGGAGGGTACGCTATACCGAGCGGAGGGTACGCTGTACCAGGCGGAGGGTAAGCTGTACCGGGTGAAAGGTACGCTGTACCGGGCGAAAGGTACGCTGTGCCGGGCGGTGAGTACTCTGTACCGGGTGGACCGTACCCTGTACCGGACAGAGGGTGCATTGTACCAGGCGGTGAAAAGGACGGTTATGCAGCATCAGTGTGGGACGGAAAAGCAACGAGCATTGTGGTGTGAATGGCACCAACCAAACCAGAAATTATCCCGGGCTGAGCTTGGGGAGGTGGGTTTTGGACTGGGCTATGCCCTACCAAGCCCAATCTGTGATTTTCCACCATTGGCCAGCTTGGGTACGGCCCAAGCGATATCAGTACCTGGGTTTAACCCGCGCTCTGCCATCCTATGACGTTGCAGAACCAATAGAACGCACGAGCAAAGGGCACCCAGTACTAGTCCCCGTGTCTATAGGATTGGACACCACTGGAGTGCGAAGGATGCTCAGTACAACACACAGGCTAAGGGCCCAGTACCGTGGTGTGACCGTCGGCACCTAGATAAGACGAGACTATCTTCAACTGTAACCACCACCAAGGCTAGACATAAGCAGGAAAGCTCACAAATGCTGCTCGTCTGCGGAATTCTGAGAGCGCCACAAACCTGAACATTATGTAAGACGGTTGCAGGGCGCTGCAAAAGACAACAGCGCCCTTTGGAGCACAACTGTACGCGGCCAGGCTGAGCCCTGGCATGGCTCTGCCCATGGCGGATTTCTCCATGGTAAGGCTCCAGGATGATCCGTGGGTGACGAATAGCGCCCGAATGACGTCCGCACAGTGATCAGTAGCCAGTAGCCACTAACCATCGTCCAACCCCGACCAAATGCCGGTCACCGTCGAAAAACATTCACCAGACGACGACAGACAGGGGATTGAAGGACAGCTGGACACGAAAATCATCCGATAGGGACCAACAAGCACCTACGATACAATTAACGGCACCAGCAGTGACCAGCCAACACCAGTGGCAGCCAGCCTATCAACAAACGGGGTCGGCAGCGACCATCGGTGACACTCCCAATACCAGAGAGCGACAGACACTCCACCCGGGCGGCATCCAGAGGACCAGCAGTCTGCGGGTGGGACTAACCGCCGAGTTTTCACTAATCCATTCCATCCAACAGCATCGCAATCCGACACGGAACGCTTTTGCAGCCTCTGCTGACATCTAACGGTCAATATTAAAACCTCAGCTTCCCGCTCTCCCCGCTCTCCCGGTGAGGGCGCCACTGCACGGCGGCCGGAAATGCGCACGGTGAGCTCGGAGCTTCTTACAGATGGCTGAAAATGATCCCCCAAAGAACGCACCGTTCCGTGCTTCTATCCTCAGGATACAGAAATCCTTCTCCTCCACGCCGCAACCCCCCTCCGGGCTGGACAGGCAACTTTATCTCATGCGGGCTGCTCCCTTGGAGCGGCACCGCTGCTCCCAAGGGAGCGCACCCCGTAGCCGGGTGCAGTGAGTGCCTTGGGGCTGGGCGGCCTGTCTTCGGACGGGCTCAGCCCCGGCGACTCACTAGGGTGCCTGCCCAGACCAATGTCTCCCCCTATATCCTATCATCCTTCCGGCTCTGAAATGGTCTCATTGGACCGAAAGGGCCTAACCCAACAAAACAACAAAAAAAAAAAAAACAAAAAAAAAAGAACGTGATAGGACTGATCGGGACCGGAACTGTCCCCTCGCACCATGGTATACATGTCACACCGCTGTGGATTCGCGATTGTGAAGCCATTTCACTGTGGACCCCGAACAGCTGGGACGTGCCGTGCCAGTGTCCTGTGCCTGAGCTGCTGTGAACCCAGCCTGTGAAGTCGTGGCCTGCAGAGCGGACACTGTGTGCCCATGTGGCTGTGAGCTGTGGGGTCGGGACTGTGGGGCCTCCAGGCTGTGGAGAAGACACTGTTCATTTGACTGTGAGCTGTGTACTGTGGGACCCTCTGACTGACCTTCGAGACTGTTGAGCATCATGGTCAAGAGTCGCTGTGTGCCATTCGCCTCCTGGTATACTGAGAGGATGTCCGCCGCCAGCGGGTTCCCCTGAGGTCACAGGTCACAGGTCAGAGGTCACAGGTCAGGTCAGAGGTCAGAGGTCACAGGTCACAGGTCACAAGTCACAGGCTTACACACACTGCTGGTACACTGAGAGGACGCCAGGTACCATGCGAGCTGCCGGCAAAGCCTAGACACAATGAGGGCACCCGTCGCAAGGCTGATTCAATTAATCAAGATTCCATTAAAATACAATAAGTTACCAGCACACTCATCTAGGTAATTCAGAAGAATATGCAAAAATATGCAGTACATCAAAATGAAGTTCGACAAAAACATATGACAGTCCTACAGGTAACATTTTCAGTGGCTTGCCGTCTCATTCGCAGCAGTTCTCTACGAGGAGGCCCGCATAGCGAGGGCGAACACACCGTCACATGCAAACTGCCATCCCTCCCGCCAGCGAAAACGGCAGCAGACTGCTAATCCTCCCAGCAACTGTCTGATCCACCAGCTCTCTCTCCAACCAGCTGTCCCACCATATATCTATCCCACAATCTACCCCTTCCACCAGCTATCCCTTCCATAAGCTATCCTACCGGCCGTCCGGCCAGCTATCCCACAGCTGTCCCACAGCAGAGCTGTCAGCCGCTGTCCCACCAGCTGTCCCACCAGCTGTCCCACCAGCTGTCCCACCAGCTGTCCCGCCAGCTGTCCCACCAGGTGTCGCTCACCTTCAGTCCCAGGACCTGCAGGTTGAACAGCTTTCCCAGCTCGTACGGCAGCAGCCGTAACAGGTTGTGGTTCAAGTGCAGCTCCCTGGAGCAGGCAGACACGGGTCACCACATCGCCACGGGTCATAACACGGGTCATAACACGGACACGGGTCAAAATACGATTACGGACAAAGGGCAGAACACGGACACGGGGTCAGAATACTGGTTAGAACACGGATACAGGTCAAAACACGGCAAGGACAAGGTCAGGACAAGGACACAGTCGCGGGTCGGCACACGGGTCGATAAACGGGTCCGAACGAGAACACGGGTTAGAACCGGTACGCAGGGGACGCGGTCCGGGAACAGCAGCACAAAAGGCGCAGTTCAGGAGCAGGGATAGGCGGCGCCGACGGCCAGGTACTGAACGAATGGTAGCAGGTAGGGCTGGCATAGTTATAGCATATGTAGCCCATACTACAGGTCAGACAGACAGGCGCACTCTGTGTAAATAATATGCTTGTTAAACCACAACAGCTATGAGCTAACAAACCGAGGACTAAATAATGATGTACAAAATCAAAGCGGTTGGGATGATTTTAACTTGTTTGTCTAGCAAAGAAACACCAAACAGTAAAAGATCATCGGAAACAAGTCAGCGAACGTGATACATCCGCTGATCGCACCGGTCCACAATACAACTGACAGCCCGTTCGGCAAGTGCCGCGCCCACAGCGGCCGTTCGTTCACAGGGAGCGTGCCCACCTCATATTGACGAGGTCTCCGAGCTCTGCGGGAATCTGGCGCAGCTTGTTGTTGGATAGGTCCAGGTAGGTGAGCTGCGTCAGGTTCACGATCTCGGCCGGCAGACAGACCAGCGAGTTCTCGCTCATGTAGAGTGCCGTCAGGTGCTTCAGTCGCCACACGGAGGGGCTGATGTTACGGACCATACCTGAGGGGACGGGGGGGGGGGGGCGACTCGGTGAGAGAGGGAGAGAGGGAGGGGGACAGAGTGAGTGAGTGAGTGAGTGAGTGAGTGAGTGAGTGAGTGAGTGAGTGAGTGAGTGAGTGAGTGAGTGAGTGAGTGAGTGAGTGAGTGAGTGAGTGAGTGAGTGAGTGAGTGAGTGAGTGAGTGAGTGAGTGAGTGAGTGAGTGAGTGAGTGAGTGAGTGAGTGAGTGAGTGAGTGAGTGAGTGAGTGAGTGAGTGAGAGAGAGAGAGAGAGAGAGAGAGAGAGAGAGAGAGAGAGAGAGAGAGAGAGAGAGAGAGAGAGAGAGAGAGAGGAGGGTGAAACAGCCAGAGACGGGGTGACGGAGAGTGAGAGTGAAAATGAGACAGAACAAGAGTGGGCGAGTGTATGGGTCTTATGAGCAACCGTGGCCGTCCTACAGTTTACTGACCATGTGAAACATTAATTTCCAACTCATATTTATCTGCTATCACTCAACAGACAGCAAAATAACTGTCAGATGGGAATGAAGCAAAAATAGCATAGACATTTAAATTACTTCCATGAAGTATTAGTTAGATATGAAAAAACAGTACGTAGATTGAAATAAACAGCGCGGTGCTCCCACCTACGAAATGGCAACGTCAAAAAGAATTACCGGAAAGAATATAGGGGAGACAGCAAGAGAGACAGAGATATTGGTAGTGTCAGACAGACAGACAGACAGACAGGCTGTGTGACAGACAAACTGTCAGACTGTCTAACGAACTGCCAGACAGTTAGACAGAGAGACTGTCCGACGGACTGTCATACGGACAGTCCTGCCCACTGGACAGCCAGACAGACGGTCTGTCTGAGACTGTCTGTCAGACTACCAGACAGGTAGTCAGACAGTGACAGACGGCAGTCAGACAGTGACAGACGGCAGACAGTCTGCCGGACGGTCGGCCGCCGTCGCGACGCACCGGTAATCTCCAGCTCCTGCCAGTGGCTCTTCCGTCCGGCGGCGATGTCCTCCTGCGACATGAAGGTGGGGGTGCGCCGGCCGCATGCCTTCTCCTGCTTCTCTTTACCGCTGTTGCCCCTTATCATCGCACCCTGCAACAGAGGTACGGCGGTCAGCGGCAGCGACTAATAGCAGTACGGCGGTCAGCGCGGACCAACGGCGGTACGGCGGTCAGCGAGGGACTAATAGCAGTACGAGGGTCGGCGCGGACCAACAGCAGTAGGAGGGTCGGCGCAGACCAACGGCAGTACGGCGGTAAGCACGGACCAACAGCGGTACGGCGGTCAGCGAGGGACTAATAGCAGTCAGCGCGGACCAACGGCGGTACGGCGGTCAGCGCGGGACCCACGGCAGTAACTCAGCACGGGAACAATGACAGTATGGCGGTCAGCGCGGGACCAATAACGGCAGTAAATGGTCGGCGCCGGACCAGCGGCAGTAAAAGGGTCGGCATGGGGGACCAATGCCAGTATGGGGGTCAGCACGGGACCAGCGGCAGTACGGGGGTCAGCGCCGGACCAACGGCAGTATGGGCTGAACACAGGACCAACGCCAGTATGGGTTGAACACAGGACCAACGGCAGTCCAATGAGGACATTGTCAGGATGCAATGTCCAAGGGACAGTGCAATGATAACCAGTACGCTGGGAGGGACAGTGTTATCAAATGTGCGCAGTAATAGCACAGTGAAATAAACATAATACCAGATCACCAGTGATGCCACTGTAATGGCCCCAACATCACCCCTTTATTTATCATTCTTCACTGTTGTATGAACCAGAGCAGTTCATCTGTATGAAACGGGAGACCTCACAATGGACACCGGCGGCACACTGACCTGACGTCACCAGTTAGCAATCGTCACAGACAGGCCGGTAACATCACAACTAGTTATAGGAATGTCCACAGTTTGTCTACAATGAAAGTTTTCCATCCAACCTTATTCAGCTTTGTATTATTGACCAGTTTTATACACAAAGTCGTACAGCCACTATTATTATTTTATCCGTCCTTATTGGTGGGGTGATGGGGACCGGGGAGGAGGTCGGTCGTCGGAAAAACTCCTCGGTTTTTCGCGAACAGCTCGCGTAAAAATCGGTCGAACGCTACCAAACTCTCGAAAGCCTCAAGTTAATCAATCAAGAATTTAATAATGCTTTGAAAATTCAATGACCCTGACCAGCTCAGGATTGATACAGCTAGGTAGCTCCCGTACCGAGTTAAACCTCACGCTTATGGGCTAGACGGAAGACGGAACAGACGGTTCAGACGGAACACTCCGCCTCGTTTCTTCGCGAATAACTCACGCAAAGAACGGCCGATCGCTACGATTTTTTCAATACCATTGAATTTCCAATTTAACACCTACCCTGAAAATGTCATGACCCTGAACAAAATAATCTTTGACCTAAGACCTGTCTCGATACCATGTCAGGCCGGAATAGCGATTCTGCGTATGTCGGCTCATATTATCCGTGCATTTGCAGTCATTTTGTAGCTGCAGACGCCCCAACATGAGACACGATGATTGTCACAAGCAATTTATGGTAGGTGTAAAGGTCACCTGAGGGGCAGGTCAGGTGAAGGTCACTGACCTTAAATGACCTTGGCTCACCTCTTCGAGCTTATGTATTTCTAGGTAGTTTTTGGAGTTGATTTCAAACTTAGCACCCACTTGAACATTTCAGTAGCTAATTTAAATGGGTATGTTACAAAGTTAAGTGGTGATAAACAAACACCAATTATATATAGCAGGCAGGATGCCCATCGGTTGGCCTGACCTGACCTGACCCAACATACCCCAAATGCATGAATGCATCAACTTTAACAATAATAACCGGAAATTTGCAACTAGGACCCTAAAAGCCCCATTTCAACGCCAAAGTCTACCAGGTCCCGATTTTCTTTAACCCGCGCCGTGCTGGTGGCCTATTTTTTCCGTGTAGTGCTGGGGGGTTTTCACGCCCCTTCTAACTCGGCACCTGGGCCACGTAGCGGCACGCGGTAAGCGGAAATCGAAAGAGCGTCAAAAAGAATGACACAAGCACTTGGTTCATTTTTTAGGTCAGGTCAAAGGTCAGGTCACCAGAAGTCATCAAAGGTCAAATTTAGTCAATTTCAAAAACTTTGGAAACTGCCAATGGCTAACTCGGGAACCAATAAAGCTACAGCGCCGCGGAAAAGCGCATTTGATAGCCCTTTTACACGCCTTTTTGAGTGTTGTTTTCAGATTTGACATCAGGTCAACGGTTTAGCCTCCAGAGGGCAAAAACTAAAAATAGCCGTTTCCACAAAAAACGATTTCCGGTAATAACTATTGACTCAAGCGAGCCACGACATTACTTTTGCCAGCATCTTGTTCCTCTCGTCGAAACGCGTCGAATGATCTATACGTTGACCTTGAAAGGTTGTTTGGAAATTTGACCTTAGGTCAAGGTCATGACCTGATTCGATAGGGTCATGTTGCACATCAGTCGATACGTATTGTCGAGCTGAACAAATCTGACGTGTTTTCACCGCTCTAGCACATCTCAATCAAAAGTTATAGCCAAAACACTGCTGGTGACCATTAATGACCTGAGATGACCTCAGGGGCACACAGAGGGGTCACAGGTGCATTTTCCGATTCAGTGTGTCATGGTAAGATATTAACCGATGTTTGAGAGAGAGGGTCTTGAAGGAAATTCGTCCAAAAGAGGTGCATTTCAATTTCCTCCCATTGACTTATGATGGAGTGGTCGCAAAATCAGCCTGACCTTATGTCACAATTATAAAAATCCAAGATATGCATTTTATACATACTGTTATTTCTATCAATTGCTGAAAGTTTCCAAGTGATCGTTCATTCGGTGTACTATAGCGGGCCTTTGAACTTTTTCGGAGGTAAGGTCACTTGACATGACCTGGTGACCTGATCTTGAATGACCATGGTCTGAAATCTTCACAACATGTGTGAAAAGATGTATGAACAGGTGTATCAAAACGGCGGCGCTAGAAAGTTGCGAAAAACCGGAGGAAGGGGGGCGTAAAAACGCCCCTCAGCACGGCACGGGATAAGTTTCGGTCATTGACCTGACCTGGAAGGTCAACCAATGACCCAGGACTTCAAAATTGGGTATCATCATCCTCGCATTGCCACGGAAGCGACACACTCGTTATCTACATGAAGCTCTAGCTCGATCAGGGGTTGCATTGCAAGGTGGCAGAAGGGTCTAAAAGACCACCTCTCCTACATGCATGGGGTATCCACAGTCACCATCCCCCCCCCCCCACAATGAAAGGAATGCTGTGTATGGAATGGTAGCCAGTTTTCCATGGGATTACCTTCAAATCACTCATATAGGTAACATGAAAGAGCTCTTTATGGCTATTAACTATTTTGTGCAAGAACACCTAACCATTAAAATGTCATTTTCTAAAAGTCAAATAATGGTCTTTCGTCTTAATGCAAATGTGAAATATGATGGTAAGTTGCAAACTGAAAACTGATCAATATGACTTGAGGCTTATGTCAAAAAAGTACCTTATGATGAATGAATTTTACATGGAAACAAGGGGCATCATGAATCAGGCACTGATTACTGTAGGTATCACAAGAATATACCAGACCAGCTGTCTAAATTCTAAAGCTAAGAGACCCCAAAAGGCAAAGGGTCTCAATTTTTTTTGGCCAGTATCTATGATAAATACTTATCAATAATCAATTTCAATAAAACATCCATGCCCCTTGCTCATCATATCTTGTGTGCTTCAAAGTTCAAACTATGCTTCTGTGACAATGCTGATGCACAATTTTTAAGGTAATATTGAGTGCGTACTACATAGCTTGCCCAATTGTATATATGTTAAGGTATCTACTGATTTGAGGATACAGCTTCCACAACCATACTGCATGGAATTCAAAATTAGAACAAAATTAAAGAGCACACCCTTTATAGTTGACAAAGCCCAAGATACCATAAACATTGCTTTCCTTTAACTATTAGGAAGTGAAGCTCTACCATCAGCACCTCTTTCCTAGTTAGTTAGTTACATATAGGGGAGACCCGGGAGGTATGGGCCCCCTGGAGGTATGGGCCATCGCAGTTTTGAAGAAGTGTTGCGTATTTTTACACATTTGACGGCGTTAACTGGTAGCAGCCATTCCGTTATACATCCCACGTGATTTTCAAAATCTTCCTCAGTCTTCGTTGGCAATGAGCGGTGATAAAGCGTTTTTGCCCTCTTCGAGTAAAATACGGTACATACAGAAAATTCGTGATAAATTTGAGCCAGGCTCGTTTTAGGATGTCAGATCATCGCTAACATAAAGTTTAAAGCATGCAAATTAAGACTGGATAGACAATTTGAAGCTTTCTTGCAAGATTATGAGCTGAGATGCTATGCACATTTTGGCGTCCTGGCCGGGAGGTTCGGGCCACCCACCGGCCATTGATCCTAATGAATAAAAAGATGCCTTCATTGAATGTCCCCGTCAATAAGTTTAATTTTTGTCGCGCAAGGTCGAAAATTTAACTTCAAATTTCATTCAAACAGAAAAATATCATTGATCTTATTTTATGGTGCATGCTTGAGTTTACCAAAATACATATATGGGCCCACGTCACCTCCATGAAGTAAGCTGTTGGCCGCTTATGCGGTTCCTGAGCTCTAAGAGAGATCAAGGTAGATACCAGCTATGAGTATTTTTCTCATTGTCGAGAAAAGAATATGAAACATGGCACCGGCCCATACCTCCCGGGCCATGGCCCATACCTCCCGGTGTATTTTGATGGATCGAAAAAGCACATGATTTATTGAAAGTTATCTCGAGACAAAATAGTTGATCCTAGATGCCTAATATCAGGCACACGTTGCAGGCGAAAGGCAATTTGACGTACACAGAGTGAAAACCCGGGTCTAGCCACTGCCCACTGGAAGAAAATTGCCTTTTCACAAAACCGGCCCATACCTCCCGGGTCTCCCCTACACTATTTACATTTACATTTATGAGATATACACTATACATACATGCTATCAGCTTACAAATATGGCAACTGGTTCAAGCGTAAAAAAACTGATCTTATTGGTGAAATCATTTATCACTAGAGCAGTGTTACTGGTAAGGTATGATAAACTTAGGTTAGGCTAAGCTTCATCGAGTTGTTTTATATTTGGTGGGGTCAATTTAGCTTAGGTTAGAAGTGCATGTGATGATTTTCTATACTTACTTTCTTATTCTGACTTTCTTATTCTGAGAATACAGTGGTGGTTATTAACTTGCTATGCATACACTCAGCAATCGTAGCACATTTCTAAATCCTTTCATTATCATTATTTTTCATTGCATTCATTGTGCATTTAGCTGTTTTTTTTTTAGACAGAATCACCAGTCAAGAAGCAAGATGCAAAGCACTGAAATGGTCAGCCTTAAAGGAAATATATCACTTTTAACATACCGTTTTGAGCTAGAACAGCAGTTTTGTTGCTTGAGCTGAGACTAGCACCAATCAAAAGCTTTTACGCCCCAGTGATCACCCTAGGCAAAGATAGTCCATTTCTCGTCCTGATAAGAGGTCCTTCTAGAGGAATGCAGTATTTGTAGAGGAATACAGCCATGTCATTGTCAGACAATGCAGCATGCATAGGTTTGAATTACGCAATATGATAGGCCAACACGTAATAAGCTTTCGCTTCAGATATGAAAGTGAACTATTCCTTCAAGTTGTAGGTAGGTATTTTTCCCAAATAAATTTATTGTTCAACTATCAATTTAAGGTGTAGATTGTAGCTAAATTTAAGGTGTAGATTGTAGCTAGATTGATGAATGTTTTGAAAATGATAAGTCCAATTGCTGTCAAACAAATGTTTCACTTTGATGGAGCACCAAGTGAATGTGAAATTGAAATCTGAGCTACCTACCTACTTATCATTATGGGCTTATTTGATGAGCAAATTATGCTAGCTAAACATGGGAGGACAAAGAGCACCTGAGCCAAAAATAAACCGCATGGGAACATTTTAGGAAAGAAAACGCTCTTAAGGTATGAGCGAGACAGTCATAGCGCAGCAAAAACAGATGCGACAGACCCCGTCCCCTCTCTTCCTCACCACCACTCACCAGTGTCATAAATGTAACGCGCCTCCAATTTGATAAGGGTAGGATTTAGAACCACTAAAAATGCCAATACTTGAAATTTTGATTGATAGCGAAAGTATCCCACGCATAACCCGAACCGTAAACACTCAAAACCTGAAATGCAAGCGATAACAATAGAATGCTGCCAGTTCCTAGTAGAGAATATAGTAACTTTTTCATTTCTCAGTCAGATATTTGGTAGTTTTTCTAAATGAATGAAAATTTTATTTCGATGGTTAAAAATTCATTTAACATCTTTTAACCCAAACCTTAAATTTTTGAAAAAAAAATACAGCAAAATAATTTGAAGTCGGACATAAGCTAGAGGAAGTCCTTCAACACAGTAGTGCTTGAGCTGGCTTTGGTTTAATTCCAGCTAGGCTAATCTGGAATCAAACTATTCCGTAACCCTGAACTTGAAGAATAAAGATCTAGCAAATTCTTATGCCCGGGCGGATCCTCACTTACCTACTTAGGAACCTGGGACTTTTTTCACCGCACAGCGCTACAAAGCGCTACGCGCGTGGTATAAGTAGGTATCAATCAATCAATCAAAAATATATTGAAAACCAATACAATTCAAAATGAACAATATTTATGAGCGATTGGTGCAAATGCTAACGCATAAATCAAAGCACCTCTCGCAAAATAACAAAAAGACACATCCATGTCTCCGACCGCCGACACAGGTCCAGTCTCACCACCTCAACCAGCTGATCGAGACGCACAGCCCGGCCGCGCCGACCACGCCCGCCGCGCCAGTCAGACAGTTAACGCACGTTGAAACGTTTCGATTCGAACAGGAATCGTTGGAACAAGCGAGCGACCTCACTCCTCTCGCCGGTGCTAAGATTTGTGCCGTGTAGAAGAATGCGTATTTGCATGTGTTGTGGTATTTGAGAAAAATCATAGTGGAGCATATTGGATATCGATTCAAATAAATTGGCTCTGTAGAGTTGATATAGACTACAGTGTAAAACAAAATGATTCGTTGTTTCTGGAACGTCACCGCAGCTGCAGAAAGGTGTCGTAGATTTCTGAATAGAGAATAGGTGGGCGTTAAGCTCTGACATACCAACCCTGAGTTTCGTGTGCATAATGTTTCCTGTCTTAGTGCCCAGCGAATAATACACCGGTGGAGTCGGAGCACCGAGCCACCGGAGCACTTCACGCTTGAAAGATACAGGCGATGTGATCGTACGGAGGGATTCGGGAAGTTTGTTCCAGTCTCTGGTAGTGACAGGAAAAAAGGACCTTTGGTGAAGAGTGGTTTTGTTGGGAGGGAGTGAAAGTGTGCTTGCGTTTCTAAGTGTTCGCCTTGTTTCTTGTTGTCGAGTTCTTGGAAGAGTCGATACAATGTATTCTGGTAGTCTTGGGTCATCGTTGGAGTTTATTATTTTGTGGTACATTAATAGTCGATGGATGTCACGTCTTGTTGATAGCGTGCTCCAGCCTAAATCCAACAAGAGTTTGTTTGTCGGTGTTCTAAATGGCACGCCCGCAACTAGTCGTGCCCCTCTATTATGTAGCGTCTGTAGTCTCTGGGAGTCGTATAGCGTTAAATGTCGATCATATACAAGGTCACAATAATCAAAATACGGTTGAATATATGTCAAAAACGTTTTTTCAATAACATATCTAGGGAGGAATTTAGCTACTGGATAAAGTGGGCTCATGGCTCTGTTAACTTTTTGCAAGATCTCATTTACATGCAAATGAAACCTTAGGTCTTTTGAAAATATCAGACCCAAGTGTTTATGGTTATCTTCTTCTTTTATATTCAAACCTCCAAAGGTAAGCTGTAGTGGTGATGCATCTTGCTTAGTTGAAAATGTTTGTTTTACAGTTTTTGACTTATTGAAGTTGATGAGCCATTTATGACCATATGCGTGTATGAGGTCCAAATCCGTTTGGAGTGATTGTCTTGTAAGGTGTTTTTCTCTTTCGTCATATGGAGCATATACAGTAATGTCGTCCGCAAATAGCAAAACATCATTAGTCAGGTTTTCGGTCACTGCGTTCAAATACATAAGGGCAAGTAAAGGGCCTAAAACCGAGCCCTGCGGGCAGCCCGCTTTTAGACTTAGTGATGCTGACATGGTATCACCGACTTTCACTCTTTGGGTGCGATCTTTGAGATACGACTTTATCCAGTGTAAAAGACTATCAGTTATGCCGAATTCGTATTGACATTTTATAAGCATCCCCTTATGCCATATTCTATCGAAATATTTGGATATATCCAAGTAAATTGTTGTGAAATGATTGCCCTTGTCCAAGTTCGAATAAATGTTGTGTGTTAAGTGGAGCAATTGGATTTGGGTGCTGTGTCCCGGCCTATATCCACTTTGACTTTGTATAGAGAAGCTGTGCGGAGTGGCAATGCTATAGCATCGCCTGACCGTGACCGAAGGCTTGAAAGAAAAGCAGCAAAAAAAATTGTTGAAGAAAGTGAAAAGGAAGAACGGCTGCATACCCCGCTGCCGACCATGCCCACGCAGCCCACCGCGCAAAAACCCAATAAAATAAAAATTAAAACGCCCGCCTCGCCCACCGCACGCCCGCACCCAACAGCAAAAAAACGTCATCACAAACGACGCAATAAAAAGAATCGCCTGCACCGTTCCTTGCCAAATATGCTAAAGCAAACGCAAATAATAATAAAAGTCAACAAAAATAATAAAAACAGCCGCCCCGACCGCCGACCGCCCGTTGGCAGCTGGTGAGGGATGGGACTGGAGGACGGAGGGCGGAGGGGGCCAGACGCCTCCCTCCCACCCCCCCAGTCAAGATATATACCTCGGGGCGAACGTCTCCTAAAAAATAAATCCAGTGTTTTTCTTTTGCAACGGTATTGGCAATGAATCCATGCTAACAAAAAACAGAAATAAAGCGCCTTCAAAAGAATGTTGATGGTGGCCAGCTCGATGGTACACAAACCTCGGTAAGAAAATGTGCTCCAGAAGCGTGTGGGATTCGGACCCGTCGGAGACCGGTAAGAAGGGTGACCCAACGGGGGACCGGGCGGACGGAGGATCTCGTCAGTCGTCCCGCAGCCGCCGCAGGCCTAGTCCACGGAGTGGAAGAGTCATCGTGCTTTGATCCCCTCCTGTCCTGGTTAATGAATTTGGTTTATTAAAGGAAATCTGCCACTTTTAACATGGGGTCTTGAAATGAAAAAACAGTTAGTTGTACCCAGAGGTGAATTTTACCGCCCAACTACCACCCTAGCCAAAGATATCTCATTTTTAGTTCCGAAGTCATTCCCAATCCCTTAGGCCAGTAGCGGCGGAACACCTTCAATTAAGGGGGGGGGAGGGCGCTGCCGACTTTTGGTCCCATTCTTTCCATGCGACGCCCATAGGGCTAATATTAACCCTCGCATGTGTGCGGCGTTTGCCAGCTTCTAATGTGTAGGGGGGGGGGGGGGTCGGTTGGACCCCCCCTTGCCGTTTGGCCCCTGATCGAGCTAGAGCTTCGCGGAAAAAACGAGCGTGTTGCCCGTGACGAGAGGAAGCCGATGATACCCAATTTTAAGGTCCTAGGTCATTGGTTGACCTTCCAGGTCAGGTCAATGACCCAAAGTCGGGAAAATCGGGACCTGTTAGAAAGTCGTAAAGTGTGGCTGCTAAGGGGTTTTTAGGGGTGCTGATCACGAATATCGTGTTAGTTTTGATCACAGATGATGTCTTGAAGCATTTAGACCAGGTCGGGTCAGGTCAGGTCAGGTCAACCAGTAGGCGTCGTGACGGGTAGGTATTCGTAGTACGTGTCAACCGCCTCTGACAGCTTCGTAACATGTTACGAAGTCACCAAAACTACTTCGTAAATGTTCAAATGGTTGCTAAATTCGAATTCAGCTCCAAAAACTAGCCTAGAAACATGTAAAACTCGAAAAAGTGACCCGAGGTCACCCGAGGTCACCAAAGGTCAATGACCTGACCTGACCTTCAGGTGACCTTGACACACAAGGGAGTAACATCAAATCACATGTTTGAACGTTTGAAACCACGAAAAGCTTGCAAACACGCGGCTAGTGCGAGCCGACATACGCGAAATCGCGATTCCGGCCAAACATGGTCTCCGAAAAGAGGTCACAGGTCAAAGGTCATTTGGGTCAGGGTCATGAAATTTTCAGGGTAGGTATAAAATTGATCAATGCGAGGGTACTGAAAGTTTCGTCGCGATCGGCCGCTTTTTACGCGAGTTATTCGCGAAAAACCATGGGGGGGGGGTCCATCCGACCCCCCCTACACATGCGAGGGTTAAAATGCCAAAATCAAAGGGGGCACGGTGCCCTGGTGCCCTCCCCGTTCCACCGCCTATGCCTTAGGCACGCAGGAGTTTCCCTTCAATCGTCAGCCAATCAGAAGCCAGGTATCTACCTATGCAGTTGGTCGGATCTATGCTATGTCATATGATTCATGGTCAATGCGTAATCAGCTTCCACTGTTACAATACCTGTTATTTCATTCTCCGGGATTTCATAGTTTGTTACTGGCACCATGACAACGGGCAATAGACACCTATCCGCGCTTGTTTAGATTCTTCTTCAATTTGCTTCTAATCAGCGACCAGGGCCCCCATAAGTGCGAGGCTTAAGATTTTTCCAAAGCACTGGATTGCACTGGATAAGAGCTCGCAGGGCATTTAACCCGCGCCCCACTGCACACTGGTCGGAAACGCCCTCACGAGAGGCCACGGGCGATTCCGGAGTTTCGGATTATTTTTTATATAGATCGATTTGAAATTGATCATATTATTATACTTAGGCCAAAAAAACTAATCCGGGTGACCAAAAATACCTGTAATCAGCCCCCGAAGATGGGGTATCCCAGAACTCGGAAACTGACGCGGAGCAAGAGGTTTCTTGAGCCGGATACTCAGAGTCTTATTGCTGATAGACACCAAATTGAAATCCCACACATTATGCATCAAAATGTTCGTTATGAAGTTGCCGACTGGTCAGTGCAAAATTTTTGGTATACTTTTACCCTAACTAAGATGTACTATGGCTTTTTTATGAAGGCTCTCCTACAGTGATTCTGGAATATAACTGCAAAGTTTAGGTAAGGGAAACAACAGGTAGTCCCATCTAGTTCCACTCTGATTTTTTGTGAGATGAAGT